GCATTTTTCTTCAGTGGAGCAAGGGGATTCCTAAGTAATGTGGGAAATAGAAAAGTCACGAACTCTTCAGTTGTTGAAACAGAAGAAGCCTTGAAACTCAAGCCGCTTTCATCCCCCCTCCTTTCTGGTGAGTTCACACCTTCTCCTGAGGCCAGGAAGGAAGAACAAGAGAGTGTGGGATTCCTAATTTGCACTCCACCTCTTTAGCTTCCTGCTCAAGATCTGCCTTGCAGTGAGAAGGAGCTTAGACAGAAACCTATGGAACACCCTGCATGTGCATCCAAGTTTGTTCCACACAGCCTGGCCAAGTCCCAGACCTGGCTGCAAACATCTACAGCCCAAGCACACTGGGAAGAAAATCTGAGGTTGGTGTCTCTGAGCATCCTGCTTAGGGTCATGCACAGGGAATCCTAGTAGTCTAAGTATCCAGAAGGTGGTCCAAAAGGAGGATCACAAGTTCTGAGCAGTCCATCTGTCCAAAGGACTCTTTGCTCCATGGAGAGTGGCAAGAGAGTAGGTCCCTCCACAGTGGTGGTTCAGGGCAAAGACAATGATTATATGAGTCAAGGGGAGGTATTGGCTTCCAGTTAAAGCAGCAGTTGTTCATGAACTGAACAAGGATGACACCGATAAACATGCCAAAATGAATGGGGAAAAGACCACGAGGTCAAAACTCTACATGAAGAACTTCAGACAACTGAGTGAAGCTGGGAGCAAGAGAGGTAGCCTTCCCCAAGGAACAGCTCACTGATTCAGTAAGCCCTGAAAACAAACATATGAGTAACATTATATGGATTCAATAGTTTATATTGAGGAATATATATGTGTATATAATTACATATCTACATGCAATAACAACTCATTTAAAAAGAGGCAATGGTAGGCTGGGCGGTGGTGGTGCACGCCTTTAATCCCAGGTCTTGGGAGGCAGAGGCAGGTGGATCTCTGTGAGTTTGAGGCCAGCCTGGTCTATAGAGCGAGTTCCAGGGCAGTTAGGACTGCACAGAGAAACCCTATCTTGAAAACAAAACAAACCAAAACCCCCAAAACAAAAACCCAACAACAAAAAGAGGCCATGAATTTTAAAGAAAGCAGGGAGGGTTTAGAGGGAGAAAAGGGAAGGAAAGAATGTTGTAATTAAATCTCAAAAATAAACAAAAACAAAAAAATGTGAAATCCAGATAAAAAGAGCAGCTGTCCGCAGTAGACTGTCCCGCTACCTAACCCACAGAGTGTGCTATACAACTCCATAAGTCAAGCATTGGAGTAATGAAGAACAAGCTTTCCATTCCCGTGAGCTATTTTTAAAAATGGACATGATCTTAAAGAAAATTAATTTTCAGCTTAAATGATCACAATAAATTAAGCAATTTATTCTTGATAAAAAACCTAAGCTTTCAAACGTAAAGAAAATCCTAGCATTTTATTTTAAAAGACAAACCCATTATTCGATGCTTCTATTAGTTGAGAACAAAAACGTTTACCTCTAACATTTCAAAGGAAATGTTCATTCTCCCATTATTTTATCTAAAATTCTTTTAAAATAAATCATGTAGGGGTGTAAATCATGGTTAGTAAAAATTTAATAGTTTGTGCTATAAAATTTGAGCCCTAAATCTACTGGAGCTATGTGTGAACACTTGAGAAATGTTGGTGATATTTAATAAGAAAGAGAGACAAAAGGGACAAAAACACTACTTAAGAATGATTTTTGAAGGCATGTGAGGCGACCTATGCCTTTAATCCCCATACTCAGAAGGCAGAGGCAAGTAAATCTCTGTGAGTTCAAGCCCAGTCTGGTGTATGAAGTGAGTTCCAGGACAGCCTGTCTAGAAAAAAAAAAATATGAGTTATATTGAAAATTAAAATAAAGCAAAATGATAAGGCTTATATAAATGACCCTAACTTTCAATTTTTTTCAAAACTGCCAACTGCAGACGTTTGCAAATTGGTCAGCGAGTGGTGATTCCAATTGCAGTGCCCTGCTCTCTGGCACAAAGAGCAGTTCTCCATTAGGCAGACTGCTAAGGAATGCATAAAAGTAAAATGTGAAACTCCCCACATGATCAAACTGGAAACTGGGGGCAGGGGAGGGAAGCCAGTCTCCCAAAAGTTGAGGTGTGAGGTCTTGTGTAGAAAACAGTTATCAAACGTAACTATCTGGAGGTGGTCAATCTAGTCGGGGCTGTTGCCTTCTGCCTAGCTCATCCGTTCTGCCTTCCCTTCTGCCATAAACTGCCTGCAAGATGGACATTAAGAGGTAATGTTGCTGAGAGCTTGGAGGCCAGAGCCACTGTACTAGACTTTCCAAAGCCATTCTCCAAAGATGAAGCGACATATTACTTTGCTTCTGAAATGAAGTAAAACTATAAATAGCTTGGGCACGTTAATGACTGAGTCCTGTTCTGGATCAGCCCTGGTTTTGCTGCAAAACTAAGGTTGATTAGAATAAATAATATCAGTGGAATAGTGCTTAGTGGGCATAGAAGAGTTCTAAAAGTCTAATGTTCTTTAACAGCAAGTCATATTTGTAATAGGTGAGGCTCATTAGCATATGCACACACAGTCACTTATTCGAAAATATTTCAAAATTAAAAAAAAAGTGCTAGCACTTTCCTCAGTTGTGTGTCCTTTACTGTGTTCTATTATTCCCCAGGAATTTTCTGAATACATGTTTTAGTTAGCATCTCATGAAGTTCTTGCCATCACTTGTTCAGAGCATGTCTTTGGTTTTAATCAAGTTCTCACTTACGACTTTGGGGAAATGGATGAATCAGTTTGCATGTTATTTAAAATAATAGTTTTCCTTCCAGTAGTCATATTTGACTCTCCTAGCTTGCTGCCGCGCTTGTAGTCAGGCATAATAATTCAAATGCTTCATGGGCTTGCAGTGGGGCTTTGATAAACAGAATGATGCTTGGAAGATTCCATAGGCACCAGAGATCCTCTTAGGTTTCTCTCTTACTCTAAATAGTTTTCATGCCACCATTTCCTTTCCTGCTCCTTATTCTCCATGAAAGTCTGAGGATTTGGGCAGCGTTAAATATCCATAACATGTAGAAACAGGAGATTTATACACACAATTTTCTAGCTTCAAAGTCTGTGTTCCTTTCTACACTCTTTGCTTGTGGAGTTGGCTTTAAATTTTTTTGTTTGCACTTTGATATTTCAAAGGGAAGAGAAAACAAGTATAGATATACCTGACATTTGGTGCTGGCCAGCTTATCTTCATATATTAACCATTAACTTTCTCTGGCAACAGGCAGGCTTCCCAGTCTGGAGACTTTTTTTTCTTCACTGCTGCAAAAAGCTGATAATGGACTTGAGCTGCCCTGGCCAGCAGTACCCGCCTGTGCGCGCACACATACACACACATGCACGCACGCACACACACACACACACACACACACTTGATATAATTTTTTTAATTGTAAAGTTGTATAATTTAAATTCAAGTCCTTTGAACTTAGAGAATGCCCCCGTGACTTCCTGTAAACACACAAGTTGATCTGGCATTTATCCCCCAAGACAACGAATTAAGGAAAATGCAGACTGCTGTGTTCCACCTGTCCCATCATCTCCACGAAGCATCATAATGTCATCTGAAAAAGCATTCCTAAAGGACTTAGGGCAGCCTTGATCAGATCTGCTGTGCACAAATGCAGAGTGGATCAGTGAAAACCTGGACACTGCTCAGCGGAGCTTAGTACTCATTGGGGAAGTACTGACGAAGGCCATTGCTTGTGCTGCAGCTATTAAAATATCACCCATGGTTAGCACACAAGATTTTTAAATTAAGGCCTGCAATGAGACCGCATTTCCATTAGCTGCAATTTTTTGATATTGTTATTATTTCACTTCTCCATATTCAAGTGAAGGTTCCACCTTTAGGAGATTTTAGGCTTCAAAACACTTCAATTAAGTATTTTTGATAAGCTAGCCAAATTGGTTGAAAGATACAATATATGTACTTTCACGGGTACTCTGAATATTTATGAACCTTTTTTTGGGATATTTGATCCTATCTTGGAACGGAATTAGAAGAAATCCTGACCAGAAGCTACTTGACAAAACTGCATAGTTGTACAGCTGACTATCCTCCCCCAACAGGCACTATCAGCGAGAAAATAATACTTAACATCAGTTAAATAAGGGAATTTTTTTTAAATGATTTGGCCACTCATTGGTGAATTAAAGAGCAACACACACTGGTCCGATTTAGTTAACACATCTGCTGTTTTATTTTTTGGAATATAGTCTACATTTGGATTAAAAAAAAAGTTTTAAATAAACAAGACATAATAACACAGTGGAACCCTTCATCATTCTACGTACGACACGGATAGAATGTCAGTTGGTTCCACTCTAGATAAATCCACTTTCTCAAAATAATATTATTTTCGCTGGCCGAGTGGCAAGCTTCATCCAAGCTGGCGCACAGCCAGTTTACACACACGGGGTGGGGGAGGGATGGCGTGAAAGGGATGGGGTGCCACAGGACTACTGTACAGTGTAACAGAAAATCATTAATAAAGTAGTACCGGTTACCGACAGTGCTGTTTGTGCGCTTATCACAATGGAATCGACGAAGTTTCAGAGCAAAGAGATTCGAAATACTTAAGACAGGGTCACTGTTACAAAAAGAAATAGTACAAACAGGAAAACTGACGCAATCCTAGCAACGCCAGGGCCTCCTCTTGCAGCTCAAAGCAGGGCGGGCAGGAGGCTGCGCCCCGCCTCCCCCCTGCACCCGCACCCAGCCAGAAGCTGCCCTCCCAAGTGTGGCAACCCAGCGCCGTGCCCTGGCAGGCCCTTCTCTTCCGGAAGAAGAACAGAAAAGAAACCCCAAGAAAGGCACAGGCTGAATGAAGGACGTCGGCCCAGTCCCATTCCCACCAACACAGAGCAGGCCCCCTCCGGGGGTCCTTGAACCCCCCTCTCTGGCGACTACTTTCCTCTGCTCTCGTGATGAGGCAGGCCCTCTTCTTCACACAACCCCCCCACGTACACAGCCCAACTTTTCAGCGTGCCCTTCGCGCCACACAACCAGGAAGAAAATAGCTTGGGGGAAAGAGAGGGGTGGGAGAGACGGCCCGAAAGGGTGCTGGGCAGCGGAGAAGAGGCCTGCCTCACTGGCCCCAATTACTGAAGCCGATCTCCTGCTTGTATCTGTTGGTGAGGATGTTGGCTTTGCGGGTGAGTTTGGAGAGCACGGTGTGCAGCCCGCGCAGGTGGTAGTGGAACTGCTGCTCCAGATCTTCCTCGCCGGCATCTGCGCTCTCCAGGTGGCTCAGGCCCACCAGGATGTCCTTGGACTTCCAGGTGCTCTCCTCGCTCCCTGCCGGCGGGGACGACGGCTGGTGCAGGACTCCCCACTCGATGTCGTTGCGGATGGACTTAAGCAGCACGTAGTGGCTATACATGTCTCGGGAGGGCGCGAAAAAGCTTCCATTGGCGCTGCCGGGGCTGGGGGCCGGGGTCGTGCGCTCCTCTAGGCAGCCACCACTGCCTCCTACCTCCACGCCGACCTCGTTGTCTAGCTCCGGCTCGGAGAGGGGCACGTCGCGCAGCAGACTGGGCACCATCACGGTCTGGTCCATGTTGTTCACCGCGCCAATGAAGCGATTCATGGCGTTAAAGAGCGAGTGCTTCTGGTTGTAAGTGTCGCAGATTTGCATCATGGTGGCCAAGCGGGTGCGGAAACACTGGGGCGCTGGTAAACCGAGATAGACCGCTGGCAATGTCTGCCTTCAAGCGCTCTCGGAGGCCGGTGCCGGGAGCCTGCTTGCAGCCGGTGAGACGGGATTCCCAGATCCTTCTCCGCCCTCTCTAACTCTGGTTTCTGTCGCAGCCCAGCCCTGAGTGATGCGCGGCTGCTCCTAGCTTTGGCTCGCGATGACAGTGGGTGGTTGGGTTTAGCCTTGACCTGTTAGAGAAGAGACGAAAAGAACAAATTACCCACTGGGTTAGGGTGCCTGGCGCCCCAGTCCGCGCGATGCTCCCACCCTGGCTACTGCTGGCTGGAGACGGAGCCAGGGTGGCTCCCTGGGACCAGGCAGTATCACCTCCTCCAATGCTAGCAGAGGACCTTTGAGAAAAAAAAAGGGGGGGGGGAGGATCTCCCTCAGCCCGGACTCGCCCGTTTCTCCCTTCTAAAACCTCAACGAAAGCAACCGTGTTAGTCGGGGCAGCCACAGGGCGGGAACACCCACCTCTTGAGCTGAGAGATCTCCCGGTTCTCAGTGTTTGCGTTGCGGACCGTGGCTGCCCAAGGGCGCTGCTGCGGTCACTAACTGGGCTGTGAGTGCAGGTGGTGGTAGCTGCTTCAGCCCCCTGCCCAGCCCAGGTGCTCAATTTATAGTCCAGGAAAGGTGTCCCAGGCACCCAGGACCACCCCCGATGTCTCCTCCTCCTACCTCTTCCAGCAGCTCAGATAAAAGGTCCCAGTCCTGACCGCTAGTAACACTCGCCCAGCCCTCTCTACCGCGGGGGCGGAGCACGCCACGCCAGGCGGCTCCGCCTCTCGCCTGATACCCGGGCTAAGGCTAGGCAACCCAGCAGGGCAAGGGAGGGTAGGGCTGAGAGGATGGAGCGGCCGCGCCCCAGCACCAAACCCAGAGCAAGCTGGTTGGGGGAGGGAGGGCGAGGCACTGAGCCCAAGGAGCCACCATCCAAACTAGAGGGCAGACTGGCGCTCGCGGGCTGGGCGGACTTGGCGCGCACTCGCCGGGTGGGATGACCGGAATGCTTGTGTGTCCGGGTTGCAAAAGATCCCCTCAATGCGGAATCTAGAGTGGCTGTCGCCCGGAAACTTAGCTTCGGTTTATTATTAGACGTCGGGTAAGAGGGACTCACAGCTGCCCTGACTCCATACCGGGAGTCTTATGTAAGAAGAGTAGCAGAACATGCCGGATGCACGTGGACACGCGGTGCTTCCTCCAGGGCCCTGGTCGTGGTCAGTTGCTGGGGAATGGGAGCACTGGGGTATTTGGTTCCCTCCTGGTAGGGTCTTTACCGGACTTTCCTACTACTGCTGCCAGGTATGAAGTGCACCGGTGTTATTTGATCTACAGAATTTTTTTTCTGCACCAGGAGATCAGAGTATGGCAATGGAGCACGAACCTGGGCCTTGTGGCCTTTTGGCTTTCAAAAAAACCTAGGAGGTGCCAGAAGTTAGATCAGGTGTTCATTTAACAGAAAAAAAAATGGGAGTGTATCCAATAACTTTCTGAAGTGTGTCAAGTGCTCCTTTCAAAAGAAAGTTCTTAAGCAAGTGTTACTTAATAAGACCTAAACTGTGTACCTCAGCCCTGGGTGTAACTTTCAAGTTTTCCACTTAGGGTTCCCAACCTTCAGCCCATAGTCCTTTTCCTGGTTCATTCTCCACATCCCTCATCCTCCCATCTACTCTGCCATTCCTACAGATAATTAGGACTCAGGCTTCTCATTTTAAGTTTCCTTCCACTAAAATCTTTGGGGAGGTTTTAGCACGGCATTCCCGTGCAAGACAAAAAGTGCACCCGGACAAGGAGCAACACATATACGTTTCTCTCTCTTTCTTGAAGGACTGGTACTATCTACCGGAAACCATGTTTCTTCCCGATTTTGTGGCACAAGGGCTGATAGTAGAAAAATGTCCCCAGTGACCATAGAAGCCAGTCTGGGGAATCTCACTCCAGTTCACTAGTTCTAGATTCTAGCCTATGCTTTCTTTGGTTTGGTTTGTTTTTTTTTTAACTTCCCATTCTTCTGCTTCAGTGTCCATGTTCTTTTAAAAGTGAACTAATGTTGTCTGCCCTAAGGAGATCAACGGAAAGAAGACTGTGGAGGGAAACGATGCATTATGTAGTTCGGAAGTACTAGAATAATCTCCCCCTTCTCTTTCTGCACAGACTTGGAAACGTTTCCACCTTCTCCATTTGTCAACAAAATGGAATGTCTCCCATGTGAGAAACTTTTCCAGTGCTTCTTTATCAATACAAAGAAACTTCTTCTTGGGTCATGGCAAAGTTTTTTTGTTAGGGTTCAATGAGATAACGGAGGTGAAACTCATTGCATACATTATAATGTATGAAGATTAATTGTACTCAATATAAGACTTCATCATAACCTAGAGGCATTGTATGTGAAGAGTTTGAACCCTCAAATATAGGCCAATTGGGCTAAGATGAACCAGAGACCATCTGCACCCAACCATCACTTCTTGGGTGCAGGAGAGTATAAAAACAGTCCAGGCTTGTTTTAAACCTTACGCCAAATGATATTCAGGGAGGAGGGCTCTGGAAAAAACAGACTACTTAGTTTCCAGTATCTGATTTTTCTCATAACTTAAAATGTAGTTTGACCCCATCCCAGACCCTCTGGATATTTCAAGAATGTACCCTGACGAAAATTTGGAATTTCTCTGAGTTATTCAATGCTGCAATCCTGCCTTCTTTTCTCTGCTACTTAGTACCAACAATGTGATTGGTACTAATCACCGAAAACGGAAATCCAAACTGTCTAGCAAAGGAATCCCACTCTGAAAAGATGCCCAGCCTGGGAGAAAGCCCCTTGCCCCTTCTCTTTGGCCTCCATCCTTCCTCTCGATCAATACGATCAATTCCCTTCCTTCTGTCTGGATCTTCCAGTGTCTTGACTCTCGGTGGCTGTTCTTAAACATTTCTTAAACTACGAGATGATGGCTCATGCACCTGACGGCAAAACTTCCCAAGCCGGGCCTCCCTGCTCCCCAGTGCCCACACAATAACTCACACCCACCGGGTAACTCCAGAACGAAAGGACCTTAGGCCAGAGCTCCGGGCCCTTGGAATCACCCCACAGCCACCCCTCCTGTCCCAGCCAATCAGAAAGCTTCTGAGAGAGTTATGCAAATGAACCTGTGGCCCTAGCCAGTCGGAAGCCATAGACCCCTCCCCCAAGTGTCCTCTTTCACCCCAACCCAGAAGAGCTAATGGCAAGCGTCCCTGGCAACCGGCCTGCAGCCAGTTTTCCCCTAAAGCAAGGCTGTAAAAAAAAAAAAAAAAAAAAAAAAAAAAAACGATTCCTGGGGGTCACATGGGTACTAAACGGGTTGGGCCAGGCCCGGTAAGATGTAGGGAGCTTCTCTGGTTCCTCCAGGCACCTACCCTATCTCGTTCTGGAACCGACTGAAAGCTCCCAAGCAACCTGTCCAAGACTCATTTTGTTTAAGGAGAACCATAGCAATCATCAGTTGAGTAAATGACTTTTGAGTACTGGCTTAAGGCAGGGCGCCTTGGTCTCTACTTTTCTAACCAGTGTGCTAGATTCCTGTTTATAAGCCTGGCCTGACATTATTCACCCACTCTGCTTTTTCCAGAGCTCTCACTCGGGAGCTCTTTACTTTAATCAGTAACCAGGAAATGATGCTTAGCTGACTCATCGTCCCTATGCAATCCTCCCCCAAATAATTCACCAACTCCCCCTCCTGTTGCCTCTCTTTGATGGCTTAGGAAAACGTGGCATTTTAAAGGTGGCAAATTGCTAAGCAAAAGAGTGAAGAAGAGTAAACCGGTGAAAGAAGAAACACTAGAGAAATGGAAGATCTGCCTTGGGGCTGGACAGAAAGTGGTGTTTGCAGGCTAGAAACTAGCCCAGGCCAAGGCAACTGAGAACCTTGATCAGACTGATAGAGAAGTTAGAGGCAATAGCTTAATGAAAACGCTCCTGGAAATCTAACAATTGCACTGTCCTTTGAGAGGCCCTGTTGCCCAACCTTCCTTTAGTACTGAAATTGCTCACAACATCTCCACCAAGTGGTCACCCTAGCCCACTTGTTCTTGTGCGTTTCATCCTCTGGTGTCAGGCCTCTGGTTTTGGAACTCTTCGGAAAGCCATGAAGCACAGGGTTGGTGTTTGAATGGTCTCCCTTCAACCCGCTATATCCCAAGTCAGTTACCTTTGCTTCTTGTAGCAATCCACGCTTTTGGCTGAGCTGCTCACATATTCTTGGCACCGTCCTTGGCTTTGTCTACAAGTTTCACTCTTGGATCTCATTCCAAGCTCCATCTTTGCTGGTGCAAAAAGGAGTGGCAAAGCCACCCATTTTCTTGTGAATGATAACTTTTCTAGACCTAATTCCCCAAGTGCCAGACCCGGCGCTCTTTTACTACCCAACAAATATATACTTCTTACAGTGATGTCCAGCAGTTAATGGATTTGGTTTAATTGTTCCACTCATCTTGTTATATGTATAACAAAATTTGGATATCCTATTCCTGGTCAGTGGAGATATTTGTTGACCAAAAAAAAAAAAAAAAAAACAGAACTTTCTATTACTTTTACCTAAGTAGATTTTCGGCCATTACTCCAGCCTGTTTTAGTAGTTTGGATTCTGACTTTGTGCTCTCATACACTTGGATATTAGCCACACTTTTGATACCTGTTCGGTGTGTTCGTCCAAGCTCCTGGTCACAGGTACCACTGAGTACTGCACAAAGGGCAAAGCACTATTAAACACCTGGAGAGTTTCTTCAGCATGATATTCGTTCATTAACTGGTACTTTTAGCATATGTTTTTTTTTTTTAGCCAGCCATGAATCATATTAATTCTGCCACCATCCAGAAGAAATAGTATGAGACACCTTGCTAAGTGCTTTACTGAGCTCTCAAGTTAAAGAGCAGCTTCTTTCCTATAGAGTTAAGGAGAATATTTTTATAATATTACAGAGAAGCTACTGTCACGTGGTATATAAACTAGAAATAGGAGTTGGAGAGATGGCTCAGTGGTTAAGAACATTTGTTTTTCTTCCAAAGGACCCAAGTTCTGATCCCAGCACCCATATCAGGTGACTCACAACTATCTGTGATTCCAACTTAAGAAGGTCCATGGGAGGGCTTGGAGAGAGGAAGGGAAGAGAGAAATGATGAAACTATACATCTCAAAAAATAAAAGAAATAAACAATTTAAAAAACAATAAAACCATTTTTGGATTTCTTCAAATGCCAAGATCTACTTGTATAGATATAGTATACTTGTATAGTATCTTATAAATAATTTATTTTTCTGACTCAAATAATAAAACTAAACTTAGATATTGTAGTCTAGAGAATTCACCTACATTTCATTAGACTATCCAGATAGAATGTGTAGGCTAATGTCATAGTCATGAGTAAGAAGTAAAGAGTAGTATGAAGAATTAATAGGCTAAAATTGATAGTAAATAAATTACACAAGTATCAGCAAAAGTGTGACTCAGAAGAAATAGGAACTATAAAATTTTTTGATAAAAAAGGAAAATAATAAATCCCTAGGAAGATTTATAAAATGAAATTGGAAAAGAGGCACACTGTGAATTAACGTATTACTAGAAAGCTAATAAACTAAAAAGAAACAGCCAAGAACAGTTATCCATTAGTTATGACAGAGCGAAGGGTGGAGGCGAGT